AAGTTTAGAGTGAGAGTGTCGGATTTAGGGTTTAATCAAAGAAAAGGGAGGTGAAAACAGTGTATGTTTTTAGACACCGGAGGCTGTCCGCTGATATTAAACACGTCCTCGCTCGAGCGAAAGGATTGGTGCGCTTCGAGCGACCAGCACAGCAGAAAACTCGTCTTCGCTAGAGCAAGAAGTTTCTCGATCGAGCGAAGAAAAACCCTAAGACCGCTTTGAGCAGGGGGGAACGGGGAAAGAGGCTCCGCTCGAGCCAGAAACTACACTCTCAGGTACCAGGCAGGGGCAACACTAGTGTGGCTCGAGCGACAGCCATCTTCGCTCGAGCGAGAGAGACAAGATTCATGGGCAGCGAAACTTCGGTTCCCAAGCACACAACCAACCTGTAACAACCTGCCCAACACATCCAAAACTTCAAAATACAAAGTAAAGAGGATGCAAACTAGAAATAAACAACTACAACATTCAACGGACACATGTCCGGATCACTGTACAACAAGGGTAAACCCGGGATCGCTATAGTGAGAAATGTAGTTGGAAGTGCCATGCGTTTATGTTAGTGATAATGTTCGAGTATGACAACACAAACAACATAATTACATAAAAATGACACCGATCAACCGATCAATTACTATTCAAATCCTTGACTAAATTGAATGGTATGATTAGGCTTTTACTAATGATTGGAACTATGTATAAGTTAAGAATTAATTGGTTTAGTGTGGCTTATGAAAACTATTTGATATTGAATCATATGTTTATTATATCAAAGATGCTACAATCTATTGCAGCAATCAATTGTGATTTTGAATCTCCCTTATATTCTAATGGATGCCAATGAATTGTGATTTGTTCAAAACTTGGCTACTAATCAGATTGTTAATCATTGTGGTTTTGAATCCAATCGATTTTGCATATCAATTATGGTTTTTCCATTCACTCTTATATGCTATCAATTGATTACACAATCAATTGTGTTTGAAATTTTTAAAAGTTATGATCGTTTTGTCAACATTGTTACGATTTTCGGACCAAAATTACAATCAATGTATTATGTTATGATTCATTTGATAAATTAGTTATGATATTTTTGTTAATATTCGTTTATGATTGTAGGAAAAGTTACAATCATGTGTTATGGTTTTATGATTCATTTAAAGTAAACGTTAATGATTTGTACTATCAAAAGTATGATTTGTTATGATAAATCATAATAAAAAATGTTACGATTCAAATGTTAATGAATAATTTGTTGAAAATAACTATATTGTTATGAGTCATTATCATATTGTTATGATTTGATAGTGTCCTTTGTTAGAACACCGGTTGTGTATATTATGGCATTGTATGATTCACTGTAGTAATTGTTTATGATATTTAAAAAAAGTTATGATTTTTTTAATGTAACTGTTAATGCAGCCTGTTTAGCCAGTTACTTTTTATGAGGTGGAACAATATAGACCAACAATGAGTGAATATCATATGTCCCTTTTAGAACGTGCACATTCGTAGACTTTTTCCAACAAGAAAAGGTTTTATTTATTTTTTACTTTAAATTCCAGCATTTTTCACTTTAAATCTCAAAATGATTCTCGCATTACTTTCATAGATGAAGATGGATAGAAGGGGTACATTGGAAACACATATAGAAACTCCCAAATTTTAATTTGTTAAAGATTGAACACTTAAGGTCTAAAATGAAAATGTGCAAAATTTTGAGGTTATTTTTGTAATTCAACCTTTTTTCTTTATTCTTTTTGATGTTCACAACATGACATCAATAATGGAGTGTGAATAAGGTAAGTGAATTAATAATGGTGGGTCTCACAATGGAAATAAGAAAGTAGTAATAAGCAATTACCAATAAACAAGTTACGAATAAAAAAAGTAGTGAAAAAATTAGCATGTCTCTTCCCCTAAAAATCATAGCAATGGTGTCTATTTTATTTGTGGCCCATAATCTTTCTTTGTAATTTATCAGGCATTTCTCTACATTACACTAGCAAATTCTCAGGTTTGATTTTTTTTTTTTATAAATATTTTCAGATAATTAACTTTATATACGGAGAGTAAGTGACAAAGCAGTTACGCATAAAACCAAAAAAAAAGAAAAAGAAAAAAAAAACATGAAGCACGTGTTGGTTCTCTCCTCCTAGAAATCATCATATGTGGCGCATAACCTTTCTTTGCATTTTCTCAATTATTTCTCTACATTTCAACTCGTAAATTCCTTAAGTTCGGAAAAAAGTTAAGTTTAATAGAGGGAGATTAGTACATAATAATAGTTATTTTTTTGTAAGTTAAGTAAAAAAATAATAATATATGACTGATTGTATTTTATCATCAATTATGTTGATAAAGAATATTCAATTAATAACTAATATTATTCAGCTTTTTTTGTGTTGGTATAAATAAATTTTAAAATTTTTACAATACTTATTTTTTAACGAAAAGTTACTTGTATTTGCATCCCTTTAAAAGTTAAATTCTGAAGCTGTTCTGAATTAAAGATGCTTGTCAAATATTGAATTTTTTGTTTGTAAAAAAAGAAAATCGAACTTGATTATGAAAATTTTGTTCAATAAACTGTTTTTGATAAATTACTTTTGGGAAACAATCATTTTTTAAATGTGAAATAAAATATACTTTCATCAAAAATGTGTAAACATTCACACTTTCTTATTTTGAAAGAATACAAATAAATTTGATAAAAACTTGTGAATTTTTGACACCTTTTCGCACAAGATAACTATGTTCCAGCCTGTGGCTATGGCACGGATTGTGTTTTACAATTATTTATATATATGTGAATTATGATTTTTAAATGTCTTTCTTTTTTTTTCTTTTTTTTATACATCGAAAAAAGAATATAACAAATGCAGCATATCTTAATCATTATTTCAATGTTGCTTTTATCAAAATTTAAAATAAGTACGGGCAAAATTTTATAACTAAATTAAGGAAAAAAATTATTTTCTAATGACATTTTTTGCTTCTATATAAATATCTTAAAAACATAAACTGAAAAAAAGGTAAGTCAATATAATATTATACATTAAGTAGAAAATGTTGGTTAGCAATTATGTTTATATAAATTTCTATAATTTTAATTTTCAAATTAAAAAAATTATTTTAAAAGCATTTTATTTAGTGCTAGGTGCCAAATAGAATTATCTTTAGCAAAAGGAAAGTTATAAAATTTGTTGGCAAATTTTCAAATGTCTATTGTTAAACATTCTTATTATGCTTATTTGTTTTTTGCTTGCTTACTTTGGGGGTTGATCTTTGGCTCCACATTTATCGTATTGTTTTTTATTTATTTTTCTTATTTTTTGCTTGAATTTTCGGCATAATACTTCTTTATAGTGCATCTCGAGTGTTAGTGAAATTCACACTTAAAATGCACAAAATTACAAATATATAGAGAAAAAAAGTAAGTAATTGCCCTAAAACTAAAACTATTTTAAGGAAAAAAAATAAAAACTAAAAATAAAATAAAAATAAAATTGTTTGAAATAGAAAATGATTTATTTATTTATTAATTAATTTTTAAAAATAAAGCTTTAAAGAAAACTATTAACAATAAAAATTACAGAAACCAATATAGAATAATACCAAAAAATAAATAATTATAGGATTTTCAAAAGAAGCGAGACTCATAAATAAATTTTGTAAAATCTTATGCTATTCATATACTTTTTTGTGTATGTTTTTTTGTACTTCTAACTCCGAAAATGACATTAAAATAGTTTGCATTTCTTACATTAGGTCCATCTAATAACTTTAGCAACACAGATGTAATAAATTGCATAACAACAAAATACAATAATGTGAGACAAGTATCTAAAAAAAATGAAGTAACGTTCAATGAATAATATAGAAGCACACCTGACGTTTTAATTGAAGGTATAATCAAGATAATCGTCATAAAGAGGAAGGGAACGTTTTATTTTTCATCACATACATTACATACACTCAACATATAATTTTAATGTCTCTCACTCTTTCACAACGTCAATTCCTCTATCAATATTTAAAATGAATGCATGACCAAAAAAAAAAAGGACATTTGCAGACAAAAGAGATGTGGTTTTGAGACTTTTAATTGTTGAATTCTGTAATTAATTTAATTATTAGGCTTCAATGGTTGGGCTTTTAATATTTGTTAGCCATTAAAGCTGAATTCTTTGGTTCATCTATATTCTGCTTGATAATTTGAGAGTGACACGTGTCAAGCCTTTACACAAATACTTGGCATATTTTTTGAACATTATTAATGAAATGCACAGTGTATTTTTTTCTCTTTTTTTTTCGTAATTGCAACCTGTTATTTTTTAATAAGAATTTATATTTATTTTTAGAGTAGTTTTTTAATATACAAATTATTTTTACGTGTATTTTTTTTTCTCTTTTTTTTTTTTTGCAATCGCAACCTGTTATTTTTAATAAAAAATTATATTTTTTTAGATATTTATTTAATATACCAATTTGTTTTTTGAGATTTAAATTAAATGAACAGTGTAATTTTTTTCTCTTTTTTTTCGCATTGCAAACCTGTTATTTTTTATAAGAATTTATATTTATTTTAGATACTTTTTAATTACAAATTGATTTTTTTTAGATTTTTTATAAAAATAATTTACAATCTCATCACTAAACAGTAGTAATTGGGAGAAGTTGAAAATGGTTGTGGCAATAGGTATTGAGAAAAGTCAAAAGGCTTGTGGGTTGGGAGAAGTCAATACACGTTGAGTTTTTTTTTCTTAAATCAAAAATTAGAAAATTAAATGGGGATAATTGAAACCTTCATAAGGCTTGTGGGTTAAAAATCCATTTTTCTTATATAATATATAAATAGATTAGCTAAGAAACTCATCTACAAAAATTCATAGAGAAGGGAGGGGAAAAACAATTTCATTCACAAAAATGAGTAATTGGCTGATATGCTTGTGTATGATATGAGAAAAGCCTCATGCACACCAAACTAAACAACATTACATACATTACAATAAGAGAATAACAAACACAAATTTCAGGATAAGCTACCAATAAATCTTATAGTTATAATTTAATTCGTATTAAGCCTATTGAAAATAAGTTATAGTAAATTGTCGCTAAAAAATAATTTTTATGACGATTTTTTGATATGTCGCTAAATTAACAATTCATGACTTTTTTTATCAAATTTTTATAAACTGTTGCTAAAACTTACAATTAGTGACTTTTTTGTGATAAATTTTTAAATTTTTAGTTGAAATTAAAAATCAATGACTTTTCGTGACAATTTTTTTAAAACTGTCGCTAAAATTTATAATTACTGGCATTTTTTTGTACAATTTTCAAATTGTCGGGGCTGAAATTAACAATTAGTGACTTTTTTAATAGTATTTGATAAAAAAAATCATTAATTATAAAGAAACTAATTAACAATAAGTCCATTTATTTGACCTATCGTAAGTCATCCAAAATTTTTAACCAGCTAGTTTTCTATGGTTTGCGTTTTTGGCGATCAATTTCGATCTTTGTAATTTAATACTTCAATTTCAATCTTAACTGTTTTTTATTATTTCAATTTAATACCTTATTACTGCATCATTAAGTTTTTTTTCTTTTCTTTTTTTTAAAAAAATTATGAAAAGTAAACACTAAGTAGCATGAGTTACGCTTTTAAGAAATAAAATTGGTTAAATTTTTTTAACTAAGTGAATCAATCTTCAATCATTTCATTAATATAAAATTAAAATTGATAGTTAATATTAAATCAATAAAAAATGTGAGATCAAAATGATATATGAGACAAAATATAAAAACTTCCCAATTTAATTTACCCAATTTAACATTACCATCTTTTCTTGTATTGATTCCAGGAAGATCTAACGGGGCTACCGGTGACAAGCTATCCTTGCAACCTAAGACAATAAAATAAAGCAACAAAAAATCAAATGCAAGGCCGCAAAAACCAAAACAAAAAAAAAAAAAGTAGCAGTGAAAAAAGAATATATAATATTTTTTAATTGATTGTCAAGCAAATCTTACACAAATAATAAAAAACAAAAAATTTATGTCGCATGATTTGTATTGAGAGTGGTGTGTTCGGATTTATGAAATTCGCTATAATTTTCATTCTGATAATTTATATTGTTCATTTTGTATTTTAAATTTCCTATTATTTAGTGTTTTTAGAGTACTACTTTAACATTGGGGTGTTTTTAGGGAATACTTGTCGCAATTATCTCTTAACAAAGAGGGGAAAAAATAATTAATTGTTATTAAGGCCTTGTTTGGCATGTGTCTGTTTTAGCCTAAAAGTAAAAAGTTATTAAAAAATCAAAAGTCTATATTTTATATCAAAATATCAAAGTTCTCATTTCTTTAATTATTGTGACATCTTTCGTAAAAAATTTTTAAAAAAATTTAATTCCCAAACGATACTAGTTTTTTATCTCATATTTTAGTCAAAAAAAAAGTGACTAAAATAGTTTGTTTCTAGACAAGTAAGTCTCTGTAATTTTAAATAAAGTGTCATTTTAGTCACGTAATTTTAATTTGAACATTTTGGTTGTTAAATTTTAAATTTTCGTTACAAGATAGTGTCTCGTCAATGTAGTTAACAATTGGAAGAGAAAAAATTAAATGCAAAATTAGAAAGACAAAAAGTTCAAAACAAATTACATGGGACAAACAATACAATGATATATTACCGATAGTCTTTGATAATTAGTTTTAAATTTACTTTTGGTCTCTCTTTTTATTTTGCTTCATAGTATTTTTAGTTTTAAATTCAATAACAAAGGTAACAAAAAAAAAATATTATATAGGTCCCTCTGCGAAAACAACATATAAATTAAAAATAAAAATAAAATACTCAAAATAAAGAACCCAAATATTATATTATTGTTAGTAGAAAGAACTCAAACATTATATTATTGAGTGCTGAGAATAAAGTAAAAAATGGCGTCTTCTTTTATTGGCTCCCGGTCCCTCTAGGAAAACAACATATAAATAAATTAAAAATATAAAAGAACCCAAGTCGGTAGAACCCAATTATTTTTTAATATATTTTTAAATGAATTTATATATCTATTATGATATTTCTCAGTTGGTAGAGAGTGGCTTTAGACGTTTTTCAATCTTTACCCAATAATATGGGGTTTTGGTTAATACATTTTCAATTTTGTTTGAATTTAAAATGGAAAAATATTATGAGTAAAATAAAAGAGGGACTAAAGTAAAATTTAAAATCAATTATAAAGACTATCAGTGTAATATATTCATTATATTATTGGTCTTTATAATTTGTTTTGAATTTTATTTTGATTTTTCTAATTTGCACTTAATTTTTTCTATTTCAATTGTTAACAACATTTGATGGACCAAAATATTCAAATTAAAATTACAATAACTAAAATGACACTTTTCTTAAATTACAGAGACCAATGATTTAATTTACAATTTAATTTAAAAAAATTTCTCTCTTTTGTAAGGGATAATTGGACAAGTATTCTAACATGAATAATGTAGAGTAGTACTCTAAAAACGCTAAATAATGGAAAATTGAAAATAAAAAACGGATGGTTTAGATTATTATAATAAAACTCGTAATGAACTCTCTGTGTTCGAACAATACTCTTCAATACAGATTGAGGACTAAATTTTTTTATTTTTTATCATTTTTGTGAAGATTTGTCTGACAATCATTAAAAAAATAAATAAATAAATGAATAAATTCTTTTTTACAATCGAATTGATTTTGTTGCTTTTGTTTTATTTTCTTGTCTTTGGTTGCAAGTTGATAACTTGCCAATCGGTAGCCTTGGATCTTCCGTGGAATCAAGATAGGGAAAGTGGTAATGTTTAGTGAGTAAAATTAACTTAAATTGGTAGTTTTTGTATTTTGTCTCCACGGTTTCATCGTTGTATACCATCTGAGCTAGGGTGGTCTTGCCGATCCCACCCATACCCACAATGGGAATTACGTCAACTTTGTTACGACTTGATTCACCCCCACCTACAAGCAACTCAATTATCTTTCTTTGATCCTTTTCTCTTCCATAAACGCGAGGTTCTTTTAATAACGACGTAGACTCTGGTCTTTGCCAAGTCTTAGTAGGTGTGGTGGTTCCAACAATCTTAACCAAATTAAGTTTCGAACATTGTTCAAAACTAGTGCGTAATCTGGTAGTGATCTCCTCAATCTTGGACCTCATTTTGAAATTAAACCAAACATCTCCTGGCTTGAAATTAAGGATGGGATTCCATACCTTGCTGGAACTAGCTTGGTGTGGCTTTGCCTTGAGACTCTGTCGCAAAGCTTCGGTGGCGAACTCATCCACGACATCATCCAAATCATATGCCAGATCTTGGAGATCATCGAGCCACAAGTTCACGGCTCGATCTGTCATTTGCTTCTCCTCCGCGTCAATCAAAAGAGCTTCAATTTGAGACAGCATATTGGTCCAATTGGTGAGCTGGGCACCAATACCTTCAAAGGTGGGTAATTTGGAGGAGGCAAAAGAGGTCATCTTCTCAAACAGCAATTTGACGAAGGCAGAGAGAAAGATCTCTGCTATAGGCATTATTTTTTATTACAGAAGGAAAACAAAAAAACCACAGATCAGAAGCAAAGCAAAGAGGTTGTTAACTTTTTTTTCAGTGAAAAAAGTTTTAGCAGTCTCAAAAATGGCTATATTTTTGTGATGAGAAGAAGAAATTATTGAGTGCTGAGCCGAGAAGAAGTCAAAAGTGGAGTCTCCTTTCAATGGCCCCTTGTACCTCTGCGAAAACAACATATAAATTAAAAATAAAAATAAAATACTCAAACATTATATTATTGAGTGCTCAGAATAAAGTCAAAAATGGCGTCTTCTTTTATTGGCTCCCGGTCCCTCTGGGAAAACAACATATAAATAAATTAAAAATATAAAAGAACCCAAGTCGGTAGAACCCAATTATTTTTTAATATATTTTAAAATGAATTCATGTATCTATCATGATTTTTCTCAGTTGGGAGAGTGTGGCTTTAGACGTTTTTCAATCTTTACCCAACAATATGGGGTTTTGGTTAATACATTTTTAATTTTGTTTAAATTTAAAATGAAAAAATATTATGAGTAAATTAAAAAAAGGGACTAAAGTAAAATTTAAAATTAATTATAAAGATCATTAATGTAATATATTCATTATATTATTGGTCTTTATAATTTGTTTTGAATTTTATTTTGATTTTTCTAATTTTGCACTTAATTTTTTCTGTTTCAATTGTTAACAACATTTAATGGAGGGACCATCTTGTAATAAAATTTAAAATATAAGGACCAAAATGTTTAAATTTAAATTACGATAACTAAAATGACACTTTACTTAAATTACAAAGACCAATGGTTTAATTTACAATTTAATTAAAAAAAAATTTCTCTCTTTTGTAAGAGATAATTGGACAAATATTCTAACATGAATAATGAAGAATAGAACTCTAAAAACACTGAATAATGGAAAATTCAAAATACAAAACAAATGGTTTAGATTAGGGAAATTTATTAGAAAATTCTTTTTCAAGTGTTTGTATCTCAATTAGTCTATAAGATATTCTTATATTCTAATAAGTCCTATTATTTGGACATTTGATCTATCAAATCTTAATTTTCACATTTAAAGTATTTTATGAACATTTCTGGTCTTATAAATATTTTTTGAACAGTTAGCAATTTGGTGATGTGAACATTCATATTTTACAATGTGAATATTCACATTGACAATGTGATTCACACATCAATGTGAATATTCATATTGATATGTTAACATTCACATTGATGGTGTAAAATGTAAATATGAATATTATTAAGGGTATTTTGGTGACTATGTTACCCATAGGACTTATTGGAATATAAGAAAATAATGTGGACTAAATGGAATATAAGTAGGTAAAAAAGAATTTATGAAAAAATGCTCATTTAGATTATTATAATAAAACTCGTAACGAACTCTCTGAGTTCGAACAATACTTTTCAATATAAATCGATGACTAAATTTTTTATTTCTTATTATTTTTGTGGAGATTTGTCAGATAATCATAAAAAAATAAAAAATAAAAATTCTTTTTCACAATAAAATTGACCTAACTTTGTTGTTTGTTTTATTTCCTTGTCTTTAGTTGCAAGTTGATAGCCTTGAAACTTCCCTGGAATCAAGAAGGGGAAAGTGGTAATGTTTAGTGGGTAAAATTAACTTAAATTGGTTGTTTTTGCATTTTGTCTCCTATGTCATTTTGATTTATATATTTTTAATTGATTTGATTTTAAATTTTGTGTTAATTCGATTCAATTAATAACACCAATTAGTGTTTTTGAAGTAAAATTGTTAATCATGTGATTGAGATTAATTCACTTAGTTAAGAAAATTTATAATTTAATTTTTAAAAACGTAATTCATACTGGTCATGTGTGCCCTTTTCATAATTTAAAAAAAAAAAAAAAAGTTAATGATTGCAGTCAATTAGATTAAATTGAGATAATAAAAAATTTAAGATCGAAATTAAATTAATTAAAATTATAAAGATCGAAATGACACCAAAACTATAAAAACTAGTGGTTAATTGCACATGTCTATTTTCTTATTGTAATGAGTAATGAGTAATGGGACTTAAGATTTAATTTGGTTAGTTTCGTACTAATCTTTTTGGAAAAAGTGTCAAAATTCACAAATTTTTATCAAATGATTTTGTATTTTCAAAATAAGAAAGTGGAAATGTTTACACATTTTTTATTGGAAGGATCTTTTAATTTCACTATAAAAAAGGATTATTCCCCAAAGTAATTATCAAAAACAGTTTATTAAACAAAATTTTCATATCAACTTCCGATTTTCTTTTTTTGTTTTATCGAACGAAAATGTAAAATGGTCCAATCATTTAACAGGATCTTTAATCAGGAACAGATTCAGAATTTAAACTTTAGAGAATAAAAATATATGTAACTTTTCGTCAAAAATAAGTATTGCAAAATTTCAAATTTTAATTTATACCAGCACAAAAAAATGAATAATATTAGTATTAATTGAATATTCTTTATCAACATAATTGAAAACAAAAATATAAGCAGACATATTTTTTTGGTTTACATTAACTTAACAAAAATCTTAACTATTATTATGTCTACTACTCTATTAAAGTTAATTATCTGAAAACATAAGTTTTTTTTTTTTTGGAACTTGAGAATTGCTAGTGAAATGTACAAAAATGATTGAGAAACTGCAAAGAAATGTTATGAGTCACATATAAAATAGACACCATTGCTATGATTTCCAAGAAAGACACTTACTTAATGTTTTTTTTTTTCACCACCTTTTATTATTATTTTTATTTATCACTACTTTCTTCTTCCGCTGCACCATTATAATTCACTTCCACCTTATTTTCACATTCCATATTGATGTTATGTTTGTGAACATCAAAAAGCATAAGAAAAAAAGGGTGAATTACAAAAATAATTCCAAAATTTCATGCGCTTTTCATTTTAAACCTCAATGTTTCAATTTTAACAAATTAAACCTTGGAGTTTTATCCGTATTTCAACATGCTCTTTTTGTCCATCTCCGTCAGTGTAAGATAATGGAGAATCGTTTTCAAATTTAAAATGAAAAATATTGGGATTTAAAGTGAAAAACACGTGAAATCTTATAATTTTTTTTTGTAATTAACCCTAATATTTGGTTGTATTTGGTTTAGTTTTGGAATTATGATTTAAGTATGGAGTTATGATTTGAGTGTGGAATTGTGAGTTGAGTTTTAAAAAAAGAAAATTTTGTCTGGTTATGAGTTTTTGAATTTTAAATTTTGAAAAGAGTTTTGAATTGTATTTTGAATTTTTGAATATTGAGTTGTATTTTAAATTTTATGGATCTATTTTTTTAAAATATTAAAAAATGTTCAAGAAAATTTTATTTTTTTTATTTCAGATATATAATTTTTATTTAGATATTTTTAATTTTTTTTATTTTAAATGTTTATTTTATAAATATATATTTTTTTTAATTTTAATATTTTAAACTCTTTTCACAACTCCATACTCAAATCGTAACCAAACACATAACTCAAACCTCAATTCAAAAATTATTTTCTAAACTTATAACCAAACACATAACTCGAAACTCCACACTATTTTTAAAACTCTACACTCAAATCGTAACCAAACACATAACAAAAAAATTAACATGTTTAAAAATATTTAAAATAAAAAATAAAAAAATATTTAAAATAAAAATTACATATTTAAAATAAAAAATAAAATTTTTAATATTTAAAAAAATACAGCACAAAAATGTATGAAAAAATGCACACTAAAATAAATAAATAAATATCCTAAAAAAATAAAAGTAAGAAAAATTTTAAATATTTATAAAAAATAAATCCAAAAAATTTTAAAAGGCAACACTCAAAACATGATTCTAAAAATAATTTTAAAAAACAAAATATTTTGTTTTAAATATTTTTTAATATAAAAATTATTTTTTTTAGATTTATTATAAAAATAATTTAACAATCCCATCACTAACCACCTTCAATACTATATCATTAAAACAAGGGTAAATTATATAAATAGTCCATGTAGTTTACACGATGTGTCAATTTGGTCCCTGTTCTTTTAATTTATTCGATTTTGCCCCTTAATTTAACGGATTGTGTCATTTTAGTCCAATAAATAACGGTTGTTAAGTTTGGTAGACGAAAAGTCAAACTACGTGTCAATTTGGTCCATGTAGTTTACATAATGTGTCAATTTGGTCCTTGTCAAAATCGAGCAAATTAAAACAACAAGGACCAAATTGACACATTGTGTAGACTTTTCGTCCACCAAACTTAACAACCGTTATTTTATTGGACTAAAATGACATAATTTGTTAAATTAAGAGACAAAATCGAGCAAATTGAAACAAAGACCAAATTGACACATCATCTAAACTACAGGGACCATTTGCATAATTTACCCGTAAAACAAACACACTTTCATCTAATCTCTTCACTAACAATCCACACATTAACAATCCCCTCACTAACAATACCATCCAACCTAATCTGCCAAACAAACGTGATCAAAACTCTGTTCAAAGCTCGTAACCAAACAAATTTTCTCTTTTCAAAACTCATAACTCAAAACACGACTTCATACTCAAATCATGATCCTAAAAATAATTTTTTTTAAAAAAGATTTTAATTTTTTTTAAAATAGAATTTTGAAAAGAGTTTAGTTTTGAGTTATGATAAGAATTTTAAATTGTGTGTTTGGTTATGAGTTTTGAACATAATTTTTGAATTTAGTTTTGAGTAATTTTGAATTGTGTGTTTGATTACGAATTTTGAAAATTTTATGTTGGAATCACGATTCCAAAAGTTTGTCAAACGCAGCCTTCAATTTTTTTTTTGTGTGTGTGTATATACAACTTATATATCTTATGGTATATGTACATGTGTGTTTGTATATATGATAAAAAAATTTTATTCAAATTTTGACTAATACTCCCTTCGTCCCATTTTATTGGTCCATTATTATATTTTTTGTTGTCCCAAAATATATGTCCACTT